ATCTAATAGGTCTTTGGGAGGGGACTGGCAGGAGGGGGTCTCTCAAGTAACCAGGTCCGATACCATGTAGGGCTTTAAAAGTAACGACATTTGGGACTGCAAGCCACCCCCATCCTAAAGTCAAGTTCCTTGGCTTCAGTTCTTTTACTATAGAGGTACTCCTCTACTTAACAGCAGTTCATTGAGTGACCAAAATTACAACAGCCCTGAATAAAGTGACTTATGACCATCTTTCATATTTACGACTATTGCATCCCCACGGTCACATGATTTTTGTTTGGATGCTTGACAACTGGTTCATATTTACGACCGTTGCAGTGTCTGGGGTCATGTTGCAACCTCCTGACAAGGAAAGTCACTAGGGAAGCCAGATTCACTCAACAACCATGCTATTAATTTAACAGCTGCAGTGGTTCACTTAACAAATGTGGCAACAAAAGTTATAAAATGGGGAGGGGGACTTAACAAATTTCTCACTTAGCAACATAAATCCCGGGCTCAACTGTGGTCATAAGTTGAAGACTACCTGTGCTACTTTACTCTCTGTAATTTATGCTTATTTGGATATTAGTCATACCTATCCAGTGGTGGGTTTCAAATCCTGTTCCAACTGGTACGGTTGGAATGGGCCGGCCGTGTTCTCATGGACATGTGCAGGGTTGCGCGCGCGCATGCGCAGTGCCCATGCACATGCGCGCAGCACACAGATGCGTCTTAGCACCTCCGTGACACTCCGCAATGCTCCAGCTCCGCAAAGCTTTGCGCAGGCACTGTACGTGCCAGAAGCTTTAAAACACATGTAAGATCGGGCGGGCAGGTGGGCCCTCTGGAGCACCGTACCAGAACGGTATCCGGTGCTCCGGGCTGGCTCTAGTACGCCCGTACCAGGGCGTACCGCCTGCAACCAACCACTGTACCTCTCACAACAAACATTTTGGGGAATTTTGTTTTCTTTTAAATTGTGTTCACTGATTGATTGTAGATGGGGACTAACAAATGTGCCAGCCAGGCAGGAATGACAGCTTATGGAACTAGGAGACATCTCTATGATCCAAAGATGCAANCTCTGCATATGTAATATTGGGACCGGGAGGGTGGGGAGAGCAGAAAATGTATCCTGTGTTCACAAGGAGACAGTTGACTAGTCCAACATGGTTTTTGCTTCATATCAGATGTATAGATATTATCAAAGTACAGGGGTGTGCTTCAAAAATTGTAGCAACGGTTCGCTGTCCTGTTACTGGATGGGCATGGCCTCATTGGCCTCCTGCACCATCGCGCCAGGGAGGGGAGGTGTTTTTCACCTTCCCCAGGCTCTAGAAGCTTTCCTCGAGCCTCCATGGGGGCGAAAACTGCTTCCCCCGCCTTCTGGAGGCCCAGAAACAGGTCTGTTTCTGGCTTTCTGGAACCTCCGGTAATCCCATTCCCCCCTCTCTGAGTTGGCATGATGGACTGGCCCTGTGGAGACTCCTGGGAGGGGAGGGGGGAGGAAAGGTGGGAGGCGAGGGGTAGAGTGGGCGGGGCCAACCAGGAGTGGGATTTGGGGGTTCACTGACCCCCCACAGAATCTTTGCTAGAGGATCGCCCGAACCCATGCGAACACCCAGCAGCCCGCCCTTGCCAAAGTATATCCAAAATTGATTTTACCATAATTTGGAAAAATTCCAACATCATCACAGAGACATGGGTGTTAATGGCTTTTTGTTTTGGTATAATTAGGTAATGTTTGCCCACAAATACCATTTTTGTGAGCTGCCAAATATGGGAGGCGGCATAGTCCATAACTCTAACTAAACTAATCTAAACTTAAAGTCAGGAATGTTAACTGTACCAGGGGACAGAAAAGCTAACGGTGTAAGACTTTGAGGCAGAGGTGAGAACATCCTGAAATTTTAAGATGGTGGATATGGCAAGGGGTGTAGTTTTTGTTTCTGGTCAGTATGTCTTGTTCTAAGCCTTATTAAAAAAAACACGAGGTTTTTTAAAGTATATTTTGTCTTTTTTATATATTTGGCCCCCATGTTGATATATTTTGTTTCTATTACTATAGGTACATGTTATATTTTCACTGAATTTTTCCTTGCATTGTTTTTTTTTTTTTTAATGGATATCCATCATATGCTTTTTCATTCTTTTTCTAAACATCAGTTTCTGTTAAATAAATCTTTGGGGAAGGCAACTATTTCTGTATCATTTGATTGATTGATTTGATTGATTTGGCTTGTATGCCGCCCTATTCCCGGAAGACTCAGGGCGGCTAACAATAATAAGGGAAGGGGGTACAAAAATAGAAATAGAAAACAACAGTTTGAAATACAACAACAGTCGTAACCTCGGATGAGGCTGGATAATTCAACAGCCCCAGGCCTGCCGGAACAGCCAGGTCTTAGTTGCTTTGCAGAAGACCGGAAGGGTAGTAAGGGTCCGGATCTCAATGGGGAGATCGTTCCATAGGGCCGGAGCAGCCACAGAGAAGGCCCTCCCCCGGGGAGTCGC